AAGGCAACGTGGGCAACACCTCCGCTTCTCCGTCCCGCGGGCCCACCACCTACGGGAAACAGCGATGGGGTCGGGTGCGCTGCCAGAAGGGTGGCAGTGAAAGCAGAGGGTCTCGACGGACCGGACCCGGGCAACAGAAGCTGGCTTTGGGGACGTGGACGTGGACGCTTGTGCGGGAGGTGGAGCGTTACCAGTTGGATCTGGTTGGGCTCACCTCTACGCACAGCGTCGGCTCTGGAACCTTACTTCTGGATAGGGGTTGGACTCTATTCTTCTCCGGAGTTGCTCAAGGTGTGAGGCACCGGGCGGGTGTGGGGATACTCACAAGTCCCCGGTTAGGTGCTTCGTTGTTGGAGTTTACCCCAGTGGACGAGAGGGTCGCCTCCCTACGCCTGCGGGTTATGGGGGGGAAAACTCTGACTGTTGTGTGTGCTTATGCACCAAACAGCAGTTCAGAGTATACGGCCTTCTTGGAGACCCTGGAAAGAGTCCTGTATGGGGCTCCTGAAGGGGACTCTTTAATCTTGCTGGGAGACTTCAACGCACATGTGGGCAATGATGGAGACACTTGGAGGGGCGTGATTGGGAGGAACGGCCCCCCCTCCAGTGGTGGTTTATTACTGGACTTCTGTGCTAGTCATGGATTGGCCATAACAAACACCATGTTCGAACATAAGGATGCTCATAAGTGTACGTGGTACCAGAGCACCCTAGGCAGAAGGTCCATGATCGATTTCGTTATCGTATCATCGGACCTGAGGCCGTATGTTTTGGACACTCGGGTAAAGAGAGGGGCGGAGTTGTCAACTGATCACCATCTGGTGGTGAGTTGGGTCGAGTGGCGGGGGAAGCCTCTGGATAGACCTGGTAAGCCCAAACGTGTAGTTCGGGTGAACTGGGAACGTCTGGAGGAGGCCCAAGTTCAGGAGGCCTTCAACTCACACCTCCGGCGGAGCTTTTCGGGCATTCCTGTGGAGGTTGGGGACATTGAACCAGAGTGGTCAGTGTTCAAGGCCTCTATTGCCGAAGCCACGGCGGGGAGCTGTGGTCTCAAGGTCCTAGGTGCCTCAAGGGGCGGTAACCCTCGAACCTCCTGGTGGACACCGGTGGTCAGGGAAGCCGTCCGACTGAAGAAGGAGGCCTTCAGGGATTTGTTATCCCGGGGGACTCCCGAGGCAGTTGCAAGGTACCGACAGGCCCAAAGGGCAGCAGCCTCATCCGTGGCCGAGGCAAAGCAGCGGGTGTGGGAGAAGTTCGGAGAAGACATGGAGAAGGACTGTCCGACACCTCAGGAGGGGGAAGCAGGGAACCATCCAAGCTGTGTACAGTAAGGATGGGACGTTGTTGACCTCAACTGATAGAGTGTTAGGGCGTTGGAAGGAACACTTTGAGGAACTCCTGAACCCGACAACTCCACCCTCTATGTTAGAGGCAGAGCTGGAGTATGACGGGGGATCAACACCAATCTCCCGGGGGGAGGTCACTGAGGTCGTCAAACAACTCCACAGTGGCAAAGCCCCGGGGGTGGATGAGATCCGCCCGGAAATGCTGAAGGCTCTGGGTGTTGAGGGACTGTCATGGTTGACACGTCTCATCAACGTTGCGTGGAAGTCGGAAACAGTACCGAAGGAGTGGCAGACCGGGGTGGTGGTTCCCCTTTTTAAAAAGGGGGATCAGAGGGTGTGTGCCAATTACAGAGGCATCACACTACTCAGCCTCCCCGGGAAAGTTTACTCTAAGGTACTCGAAAGGAGGGTCAGGCCGATTGTCGAACCTCAGATTGAGGAGGAACAATGCGGATTCCGTCCTGGTCGTGGAACGACGGATCAGCTTTTTACTCTCGCAAGGATCCTGGAGGGGGCCTGGGAGTACGCTTATCCGGTCTACATGTGTTTTGTAGACTTGGAGAAGGCGTATGACCGAGTTCCCAGGGAGTTACTGTGGGAGGTGATGTAGGAGTATGGGGTGAGGGGGTCTCTACTCAGGGCCATCCAATCTCTGTACTCCCAAAGCGAGAGCTGTGTCCGGGTCCTCGGCAGTAAGTCGGACCCATTTCCGGTGAGGGTTGGCCTCCGCCAGGGCTGCGCTTTGTCACCAATCCTGTTTGTAATATACATGGATCGGATTTCGAGGCGTAGTCATGGGGGAGGGGGTCTGCAGTTCGGTGGACTAAGGATTGCACCACTGCTTTTTGCAGATGATGTGGTTCTAATGGCTTCATCGGTCTGTGACCTTCAGCACTCACTGGATCGGTTCGCAACCGAGTGTGAAGCGGCTGGGATGAGGATCAGCACCTCCAAATCTGAGGCCATGGTTCTCAGCAGGAAACCGATGGACTGTCCACTTCAAGTAGGGAATGAGTCCTTACCCCAAGTGAAGGAGTTCAAGTATCTCGGGGTCTTGTTCTCGAGTGAGGGAACAATGGAGCGTGAGATGGGCCGGAGAATCGGAGCAGCGGGAGCGGTACTGCAGTCGCTTTACCGCACCGCTTTACCTACCCTCACCTATGGTCATGAAGGATGGGTCATGACCGAAAGAACGAGATCGTGGATACAAGCGGCCGAGATGGGTTTTCTCCGCAGGGTGGCTGGCGTCTAGAAATACAATAGGCAATAGAAATACATTGCTTTTAAAATCGTGCTGTGCAACACGAAAAAAAATCGTGCTGTGCAACACGAAAAAAAGGGGCAAATCGTGAACACGAATCAATAGATTAAAAATCGTGTTGGTGAACACGAATCAATAGATTAAAAATCGTGTTGGGGAACACAAATCAATAGATTAAAAATCGTGTTGGTGAACACGAAATGCCGTGAGACTGGGTTGGTACCTCAGGCAGTTACAGCGGTTATCCAGCTCCATATTAGACGATGACTCCCACCCTCTGCACTCAGAGTTCAAGCTTCTTCCTTCGGGCCGGAGGTTGCTCGTCCCAAGGAGTAGAACGAAGCGCTATAAAAACAGTTTTATCCCAGCAGCTATTGCACATATTAACACATCATAGGAGCGTCACACAGATGCCTATTTTTATTTATTTATTTGTGAATTTTGAATGTCCATGTTTGTAGTGTTTTCCTTCTTAAAATGTTTTTTTGTTTTTAATATTTTGAGATTTGGTTGAGCAGGGTGTACTTGTACTTGTACTTGTACTTGTACTTGTACTTGTCCTTTATTAGAGATGTGTCTGTTGTTTGTGTTTATTTTTAGTGTCAGGATGGAACCCTTGTCTTTTTCTCTGCAAACAGAATCTACCTACGGGTACAAATAAATAACCTGAACCTGAACCTGGCAAGCCATGGAGGGAGACGGGGTAGGAGTCGTCCGACTCCTGCCCCGCACTCGGCTCCAGAGACAGGCCGTCGTCCCTGTTCTGGACGGGCCAATCGTCCTCCTCAGCCACAGCAGCTAGAGCGTCCGCTCTTCGCTTCCTGTCGGCTGACGGGAGACGGGCACAATGCGAACAAGCGACCTGCTTGCTGAGAGCCGCGTCCGCGTGCTCTGGCCCCAGGCAGGATTCGCATATCGCGTGTAACTAGTACTAGTTTGACTGCTACCAAAAATAAAATGAATTACTTTTACTGTGTACTTTATGAGTAGCCTAATCCTCTGTCAGGTCCCCTCCATAGTAGCCTACATAATGCATGTTTTCTGCTGTCTTTGATGAATGATAAAAAGACGATGTTACCATTAGTTCTTAATGATATTGACTGCGGTCACTCCGCCGTCTCTCCACTTTGTTTGGTCAAATGAGCAGCGCTTCATTTTGGAGTGCGTGATTAATAGCGTCTTTACGGTAATCGCAGAGAAGCGGCGCTGACGGTATAGAGTTTATGCTATAGCCTATTTGATGAGGGATCAAATGATTTTTAGCCATAAGTTCTTAATAAAATTGGTACCGTTGGACTCAGTACTTGTTAAACTACCACAAATACAATGAAGTACTTTTACTGTGCACAGTAATACTCTGTCAAACTCCCCTCCAGAGTACAATAATGCATGTTTTCTGCCCTCTTTGATGAAAGATAAAATGATTTTTTTGTACTCATGGGTGGAGTTTGACAAAGGATTACTCAAAAAAGTACACAGTAAAAGTAGGCTATACTTGATTGTACTTGTGGTAGTAGTCCAAGTAGTACCGAGTCCAACAGTGTCACTTTTATTGAGAACTTGTGGTAACAAATATTTGTATCGATCATCAAATATAGCAGGGGGAAAAAGAGCTGCTGATTTGAAAAAAGAGCTCGAGAGCTGGCTGAGTGACCGCAGTGCAGAACCGCTGTATAACATTCATCCATTCTCTGGGCTCAATGTGTGTCTGCGCCGTTTTCGTTGTGATCACTAAAGTCCCCTAGTTTCCCCTTGTTTATAATATCACCGTTCCAAGCAAACGAGTGCTTTTTGTTTTGAAATCACTTCCGCGATTTTCGCGGGCCTCCCCCCCCACTTGTTGAATAAAGAAAAACAAATGGTCCGTAGATCCACGGATTCATCTCCCTCCGTCATGTTGATTTGAATCAGAAGTTCTGAACATGAGCCCGCCCCGCTCGACCTTCTGAGCCAATCACAGCGCGATAATGACCTGCCTTCCGTTTCAACCATACTCCTTCCGTTTCCACTATACTTTCTCTCACATATATTTTCTTCATACATACATACATTGTTCTCTTGCATACATACATTGTCTTCATACATGCATATATTATTTATAATATTAAATGTAAACATTGAATGATGTGCATGAATGCAAAATGTATAAATATGAGTATTAAAATATATGAATATGAGAACAAAATGCATGAATGTGTGAGTGACAATATATACGTGTGTAAGAGTGAAAATGTGTGTATGTGAAAGGAGAATATATGTGCGTGAGAGGACCATGAATTACGGCCTGCACGGCCCCTCATAGATATGGCTGGTCCGGTGAGAAGTGAGGACAAAGCAGTGAGATGACTAAGAGGGGGAGGCGCTGGTCCTTGGCTCAGAAACAACACATTTGATTTTTGATCCAAACTGAAGTTTATTTGATCTTTTTTTAAGAATATACTGGAACTGTAAAAGTCTTATTGCTATTAAAGTATAACTGCTGCAGATATATAACAAGGAGATGAATATATAAATACGGTTTCCATCAAAAGATAAATATGTAACAGACGAGCGTCATTAATGAAACACCTGCAGCGAGGTGAGAGGAATCTAGATTTTATAAAAACGTTATTGACCTTTTGGAAATGTCCCTATTTGTTCCCATAATGTGGTTTTTTGCACTACTTTTGTATTGATTGAAAGGACTATATTTGTTGGTGTTGGCGTTGGTGGCTCCAGGGGACCAGGACCCTCTGAAAGGTGTTGCTTTCCTGCGACACGACGCCTCGTCCACAGTGGCACGTTGAGGAGGCAGGGATATAGAGCGGTGAGTCCTAAATCAGGAAGTGAGTCAGCATGTCTCCACTTCCTGTTTCCCTCGGCTCAGAGCCAATGGGATCTCTCCATAGGATTTAGGAAAACTATCTGAACTAAGGTCTGTGGTTGAGACAAAGAGACGGATCACGTTTTGTTCTAGGACATTAAATCCTCAGCAGTGACCCCACTGGTGATTTCTGAAGAGTGGACGTGTCTGAGAAACGATGGTTGTTACCAAGTGGCTGAATAGGACTACAGAAGTCGTGGAGGACTATACTGGCAGGTATATACTGTGATGGGACTAAGAGCTGGTCCAGGTCCGGTCCCCCCTGACCTCCTGCAGCGGGGCCTGGGTGGCGAGGCGAGGCCGGCGCCGGACCCTCCTCTTGGTGTTCTGCTTCAGGTTCCTCTGGTACATGTCTATAAAACAGAGAAGAAACAGGAAGAAGAGTCTCTGGTTTTCACTCTGAACTGGACCTGAACTGGACCTGAACTGGACCTGAAGCAGGAATCCTTCGACCTGGAGCTGAACATTTCAGATTGGTCTTGAATTTCTGACCTAACTTGTGGACGGCCTATCTGGACTTGGAACTTCATTTTAGTGGTGAGCCGGGACTTTATAGTCTTTACTCCAGGACTTGTTTTGAAACTCGAGGACTTGACCTGGGACTGGACTATGGGACCTTTCTGTTTCACCTTGGGGGTTTCCTTTCCTGACCTGGGACTTTTGTCTTTACTCGGGTCTTGGTTTGGTTGTTGTTTGTCTTGACATGGACTAGATTTTGGGACCTTCCTGTCTTTGATTTTGACTTGGGACCTCTTTAGGAAGTGACTTGGATTTGACCTTTCAGGATTTAGGACTAGATTAGGGATCAACCCATCTAAACTCAGGTCTGGAGTCCCTCATAACTGAGACTTGATCTAGGACTTGTTTTGACTCTCGAGGACTTGACCTGGGACTGGACTATGGGACCTTTCTGTTTTACTGTGAGGGTTTCCTTTCCTGACTTCTTGTCTTTACTCAGCATTTGGTTTGGTTGTTGTTGGTCTTGATATGGGACTTGTCTAGGGACTTAGGAGGGGTCTTGAAGTTACTCGTCGTAAGACTTTTCATGTCTTTGAAATGGACGATGGACTCACCTTCACCTTCTTCGCTCGAGTCTGAGATCTTGATCTGGGTTCAAAGGTCTTGGGACTTTCCTCTCTAGACTCTGGCTGGTCTTAGCACCTGACTGTTGATGCAACCTGTGGACCCTGACCCCCCTCTGAGTAAACAGGAAGTGGTACCTCTGAAGCTGAGGACGTACTCTCTGTTTCCCTTCACCACCTGGACCTCCGCTGAACTGTCCAACAGG